TTTTTTTATTAATCACGAATATTAAGAAATTTTCCATAAAAATGCATATGATTAAAATAAGAAATTTAGTAAAACTAACGCATATTTTTACAAATAATTTAGTTGATTAATTTTTTTAATTTTGTATACTTGTCCAATTCCAGTATTTATAATAGAAGTATTTCTAAGAATTAGGAATAAATTATTATTGGCCGGGGGGAGGAATCCAACTCAGACAGTAATCACGTGATAATAGATTAAGGAGTTACATGAACGAGAGTGGACAAAGATGGGGATGTGATGGGAGTACGTGGCAGCTAAGCGTGGTGGTGCGTAAAAGCTGAGGGGTGATGGGGCCCAATGACACGCGTCTCTATCTTCCAGGAGGTCCAGATAAGAATGGCAGTGGGGCCCAGCTACGAGGGCGACATGGGCTCCTTGACGAGAGGTGGATGTCTGATGTCAACAAGTGTACTGTACGGTCCCTTTCGTGGGACCCACTGCCCACGTGCGTATCACGTCTTGCTGCTTGCTACGTTATACCACGAGCGTAGGTGCCGTTATTGTCTCCGCTTTACTGTGGGCTTGGAGCCCAATCCACGCCGACTTAAATGCCCTTTGTCTTTATCATCTTTCCTTTAAAAAAAAAAATCATAAAATTTATTCACAAAAAAAAAATCATAAATAGTAAAGGAAAATAATCTTCTCTTTACTTCAAGTTTTTTTTTTGAACACTTGTAATCTCTTTAAATTATAGGTATTCATCTTTATACTAATAATTTATTAATTCGGAAGAAAAACAATGTTAATACCTATCAATATGGGTCCCATTTATCATTATTTAGATTAAGTTTGTTACATAGATCCGAATAAAATTAAAATTAACCAGATTATTGATTATATATAAATGCAAGAGCCTATTATGGGTGTGATAGTTTTTTATTTTGTTGATAATAAATAAATTTTATTCAACCAGTTTATTTTAAAAAATTTATATTGTATTTTATGATAATTTATATGCTACCTAGTCAACATTCACATAAGTCACAATTACTAGTAATAATCATTTGATCCATTCTATTTTCAATATGTTCTACACAAACCAATAAGAGTTTTAAACTTCATTAGTTCTCCCTTAAAATTGAACAGCTTTTCTAGTTCATCTTTTTTTGGATATGTTTGAATTGGTGTTAGGCAAAATTGACTTTTAATCTAACTGACATTTGTAACTGAAGTTAGAGTAAAAGTCAGTTAGTGTAATGCGATTTATATTTGGATAGGTGCTTTTAAAAAGTCAGTTGAAAAAGTTAAAAGTTGTTTGGATAATTAATAGAAAAGTTAGTTTAGTTGTAAAATGATTGAAAAGGGTATGGAATAGTGTTTGAAAGTTTATATTTTTAATGTGATAATAGTTTAAAAAAAACACGTAAAATTATTATGATAAAATATAAATAGTTTATTTGTGAAATTATAAAATAAAAATATTTGTTACGAAAAAAAATTTGAAAACACATTATAGATAATTAATTAAATATACATAATAGACAAACATGAATATAAATTAAAATTCATTTGGTCTCTAATTAAGTAAATGGAATCACATAACTAATTAGATCATAAATTTTGCATAATCTTCCCATACGTTAGTTAGAAAAGTTGATCCAGATTGCGTTGGATAAGTTAGTTAGAAAAGTTACTTTTTCTTATAAGTCAGTTAGAAAAGAAGCCCTATCCAAACAATCTTCTGAGCCACAATAAGCCACAAACCTCAGTTTTATACTTCCCGTATGTTTTTACTATATGTAACAGCAATCCAAACGAGGCCTTTTACTATACATTATACCCTATGAGAATAAAATTAATACAATAATAAATGAAAAGTAAAATTATATATTCATATAAAGTTTTTTTTCTTTCTGCTCTATTAATAAAACTAAAATTTCTTCTCTTTCTATCCTAGAAATAGTACTAGAGGAGTAGATTATAAGTATAGGTGTACAAAAAAAAATATTATAAGCATAGAAACTAATGCTTATAATTGAGAAAATCATAAGCGCCTAATAAAAATATTACAAGAAAATAATAAAATATCATGTGAAATTATGAGAACTTAGGAGTTAATTTTTCTAATAATAAAATGTGGAATAGTAGTTAGGTTGGATAAAAATAATTTGACATGTTTTAAATATTTTTTTATATTTAAATTTCTAAAATAATAAATTGTATATAAAAATCATGATTGAGAAAGCTCCCTTGGCAACTAAGCAAGCCTAGTTTTATTTACCCAACTTGTTTAGGCATTAACTTCTGATGTAACCTAGCCCGACGCAAATCGTGCAAACTTCAACTGGAAAAAGTATCACGTTTTATAAAAAAATATATAAAATCACTTTATGAAAATTAGTATAGAGTATGGAAATAAAAAAAAAAGAGTCATATTAATGGAGCCAAGGGAAAAGACATAAAAGAAAAAGAAGTGGACAAGTTTTGGAGTGTGATAGAGTGTGTGTATGAAGTGTGTGAATGTGTGATTATAAATATAATAATCTAAAAAATATATAAAATTTTTTATTTTATATAACATTTTCGTTAAAAAAAAAATTATACGTATGGAGTAAGAAAAGAAGCCAATTAGTTGGCCAAAAAAAAAGACAAAAGAAAAGAAGCAAATTAAATAATTCATAAGATTTGATATGTTAAAATATAAAGAGAGAAAAGACATGAGGGTATGGATATTCATACACCAAAAGCATTATTTATACTTTACAAATTATAATAATATTTGCGGACCAACCCCTATATAAATTATTTATTATTTACGTACCCAACCACATGATAAGGTCTGGATCATAGTATTCCAAAACCACCAATTGATTATAATGCCTTTTTTATTAAAAAATTATTACAATAAATTATGATTGAAAGGTAGTTTGTATTTTATTCGTATAAAAAAGGGATTCGGCAATAAAGTAGGATAATTTTCAATTAAAATTATATTTTTTGTTATTAATTTAAATGTATTTGGAATTGTGAAGGTAAGTTGAGACCATGCTAACTTGTTCATTATGAGTTATGAGTTATTGTGCTAACTAATTAAATCATAAGAAAATTAGAGTAAACATATTCTCAAAATTTTAAATAATTATCTTAAATAAAACAGATATAAATAATGAAAATTCAAAAAAAAATTTCAACAATATAAAAACTAGTTAAATTGTTATGCCTCATCTAACATTTATAAAACAAAGTAAATCAAGTAATAAAATTCTTTACATTTCTTCACCAAGCACATTTCAAATATTGCATTCTTTGCGGTTTGTGAAAAAGTAGATTGTTCATCATATACTATATGGTTCATTAGAAACATAGTTATCTCTTATATGATGTACAAACCACGCTAAATGGGTTTGTTTGTCATATTTTTCTGCATTTTAGTTTTAGCTTAGTACCTGGCGTTGCTCACCCACACACTCTAATTGGGTTTTAGTGGGTCTATCTGATTGTGGCATTTGGTTTTTTCCCCCTTTTTTTGGCCGTAGGCATAAGTATTCTCTTATATGAGACAATTATATTCGAAGTACTGTTATGTACTAAATATAAATATCTTTTTTAGTAAAAATTTAAACTTTAGTTCACTACATTGTGATTTACTAGCCTTTCCCACCAAACCCAACCTCCATCAGTGATTGTAGGATATTTGAATGATCTTGATCCATCTACATGTGTAGCTCAGATTACTTTGCAAGTGAAATTCCCTACCTTGAGGACAAGGTCCGTTTAGATTTTTTTGGGGTAATGTCACCAATGTGTTTTATTTTTTTAATATGGGCCTAGACCGAGAAGCATCTTATGAGCGATGAGCCACTTCAATCGGGCCCATAAGAAGTTTTATGGTATAAGTTGGAGAATTCATCGTCTCATTTTTTGCATTGTCGCCTTCTTCCCTTCCTTTTGAATTTTCTATACTTCTTTCAATTCTTTGGACCTTAATTTGGGTCTAAAGTTTTAAGGAACAGACCCAGCAAAACCTGTCACAGAATTTGTGTCCCCCAGTAGGCTAATCCCAAGGATTTTTTCCACACTTCAACATAGGAAAGCACTTAAGCGAATTCAGTCAACAAAAGATAAGTAAGATCAAATCAAATAAATCATGAAAATACATAATTAGTTAGAGTTTGATGCACCTTTTTTTGACATAATCTACTAAGAATCTCTACATCTGAAAATTCATATTATCCTTTTGCAGGCACGCAAGCTTCTAAGACCCAACTTTGCATACCTTGTTACCTTCAAAATTGGAAGGTTTATGCTTGGGAAGAGACTGGGGAGGGGAATCATGGGGAAAAAAAGAAGAAGATATATTACTCACAAAACTACCAAAAAAAGAAAAAATAACGACACCCTCTCATAACGACACCCTAATGGGATCCCACACCCATAAGCAGCAAGTTCTATAAATCAACCTATGCCTTGTATTTTCTCCCCGTTTGGTTGAGCTTGTAGGAAGAGAATTCCTTTCCATTAATATCATCATGAATATAAAATAATCTATAGCCAGTCATATGCGCAAGCAAATAATAATGATTTCTCAAACTCTGTACAAGATATCTATACAAGATCAGTAACGTGTATTCTGCCTATATTGATATCGATCAACAACAATTGTATCTTATTCCTTTTTTATTGATATAAGGGACATTTCCCATCTGCAATTTTTTTAATACTACCTTTTTTTTTTTTTTTGGATTCCGTTACATTTGACATACTAAAGTTTTATTACAGCAGCTGCACAAAGTTAATCCGAAATACAATTATGATTGTATAACAATTTTTGCAAGTCATAACCATCCATATCTTGCGCTTAATTTTTCATCAGATTAGAGAACAATCCAATTATTTGATTTTTTTTTTGTCCAAAAACAATCCAAGTATTTGATAGTAAATGGAACTTTGTACTTGAAACTGTGAATTGTTCTAGTTGTGCATTCTAAGAAAACCAGAGAGGAAAAGTAGGCGGACCATTGAAACTCAAACTCAACTTCAGAAATGAACATTGACATGTAAAATCCGTATAGCAGTTACAGTATATCGGAGAATATAAAGCTATCATCATGACAGATGCAAACATATGCTACCTGGGAAAAATGTGGCACCACTCAACCAGTAATCTACAAGCTTAACAAGTATAGTTTCTGTTGGTAGGAAAAATATTAATAATCCTTCTTCCTTCCCCGAGTTTATATATCAGATCTTTCTTATACATAGAGCTACTGAGACATCATTTTTGGAAAATACAGACGAAGAAACACGGCAGGTTTAATAAGTAAGCAAGTATGCGCATTAACTACTTTCTTTTGGCCAATGCACATTGACAATTAAGGAACTGTCTTTCATTGGCCAGTGAGAACAGAATATTTCATGTCAATTTGATGATTTCAAGGTTTTCTTAAAACTTCTAAGGAAGCTCCACATGAAGGTGGAAACAAAGAAGAGGATGATACCAGTAATAATGGCATACTTGAGACCAAGATTCACCAACAAATTGACCAGCAGCCCAGCAAATACAACCCCAACAAAATTTGCAGATACAGCGGACCAAAATGGCATATCAAGAATGGATGCTATAATGGCTCCAGACCAAGCCCCTGTTCCTGGAAAAGGAACAGCCACAAACAGCATTAGACCTAGCCATTGAAACTCCTCCACTGGGCCAGCCTTCTCTTTTGCATTCTTAAACAGCTTGTCCAAGAATCGAGGTGCAGTAGGGCTCTTTGCAGCGAGGAAAGATGCAAATCTTTTAAGGTAGAGAATAATGAAGGGCACAGGGACCATATTCCTACATCAATAACACAAAGCTTGCCCAATCAACTATCTAGCAATCACCTCTTTTATCAGCATCAAAATTTCTAGATCTTCAAGTTGATACAAGAAAAAAAAAATCGATGTATAGCTCTTGGATATCCTATACAAGCACCAACTTACAGGCATAAGGGAGAAGGAATTCTAAATATAAACTATCCAGCCAACGAAAGATAGAGCTACATTTGCTACATTGGGTATTACAATAAGCAAACAAGTTCAACCAACTGACGATCAGCAGGCATACCAGAATTTTATCATTTCATGTTAGGGAAAAATCTGAAAAACTAACAGTTTGATCCCTAAATTATTAGACCAATGTAGCTTTAACCTGAAATGAGTGAATTTACAAGTTAAACTAATTAACACTTCGTTATTTTCAAGGACTATAGCCAACAATTCAGTCCCATATTGTTAGTCTACTCTTCAAATAATTAAAGATGAATGATATCAATTAAAAAAGAGACAAACCCAAGAACGGATAAGACAGTTAAAAACACAGGATTGAGTTGCATCCAGTAGCCAACAGGAATAGCCCCACGTAGCTCAAGAACAGGAAGCGTTGCAAGGCTAAATACCACAAATTCATCAGGCCAACCCAATTTCCTGAGCGCATTTGCAATATTTAAGCCAAAGCCTGAGGCTTTAATCGAGTCAGCAGCAGCATTAGCATCCTTAGAAAAAGCAAACCAAGCTAGAGACAGAGAAGCACAAAAGAGGACCCAAAAAGTGAAATTAATCGGCCTATCCTCCAACAGAAGTAACCTCTCAGTTCCATCAACATCATTCAAGCATTCATCCGAAGAAGCTCTAACTTTGGATACTACAGAATGGTTAGTCACAAGAAGAGGCTTCAAATGGTGGGAGTCGCGACAAGTGATATAGGATTTTGATTTGGAAGCACATTGTCGGACATTGACGATGAAGGAGCAGCGATTAGGAGGTGAAATTCTGTGATGGACTTTTGCAAAACAGAATGTGGGCGTTAATGCTAAAGCAGAGGCGGCCATCGCAGTATCACACCGATTAGGGGGAAAAAGGAATAACGAAAAAACGGTTTCAAATGCGAACAAACGAAGGGAATCGAATCACTTCCAACTCCATCCAAATGGGTCAGCGAGGAGTGCGCCTACTACGGGGTTAACTATGAATTTCAGGGATCACTTCTGGGGATGACTATAGAACGAAAAGGGTTCCTGGGAAAGGAAAATCGATACCGTTCTTTCACATTTCGAAGTTCAACGACGAGATTAATACAGCAACACCCAGGGTGCAAAGGATTAGGGGTTTGAGGGGTAGATGGGTTCTTGAGGGATTCTGAGAGTTGGATAAAAACGAAGGGCGTTACCAAACACAACAACGGAGTAGGCAATGCTGCTATGGGCTCAGGATGAGAAAGAGGAGCATCCGTTTTGACCCGTGGAGTATACTTTGGTTTGTCTCATCTAACCCAAAATTTTGACTCAGCAGATTAAAAGTTAAATGTTAATAAAACAGCTTTAAATTTTGTCACAAAAAAGAAGACACGCTTTAAATTTTAGAGAAAATCCCAAAAAATATATCTCTTAAATTTCAAAATTCTAAATTATTTTTATTTATAACACTTTAATTGTAATTGACTATATTTAAAAAGCAAATTATAACACATTTTTGTAATAATTTTTTATTTGAGATTTTGAAATTTAAAAGGTATTTTTTAAATATTTTTTTTCTAAATTTTAATTCTTTGACATGAGATTTTTAAATGCAAAGAAACAAGTAGAGCTTATTTAAGAGTTGAAATTAAAGCACTAAAAATACAATTTTAAAACTTAAAAATAAGGTTCAAAAAACTAAATTAGTCACTCAACGAGTCAGAGTAATGGTTCAAGGATCAGTAGGTCAGATTGAGGTTAACTCGAGGTTCGACCAGTTATATTAAAATAATATAATTTAATTAAAAATAATAAAATACAATTAACATTAATAATCACTAATAACAAAATATAAGAAAGTACACCAATAATTTAATTGTAATAATAAAAAAATTAAAATATTAAAAATATCCATTCTTGAAAAACTTTAATCACTAAAATTAAAAATATTATATTATTTATAAAAATATTTGGTTATAAATATTTATATTGTTAACCAACTTCCGTCCTTTTATTAATTTTACAATACGTATTTATATATAATGAATACTTCCTCCAATCCTATTTATATGCTTCAATTTGGGTTTGTTTTAACATTTAATGTATTTTTTAATTTTATCTTTTAATTATTTATTCTCTCTTATTTGTTACACTATTTCTCATCACATTTCTCTATACATTCTCTTTTATTCTTTTTTCTCATTTATTGGGCCTCAGCTGATGTACTTATTTGGCTATGTATGTTTCAATATTATGTTGAATGTCTTGTACTTTGAATAACTTGTAAATAGATGGACCATCGGTCAATACTGGTTGATTGGGTTTATTATTTTTGTCTCTTAGCCTCTGTTTTTCATGGTACCAAAGCCCAAAGTTAGCATTCTGGGAAGCCCAATCCAAGCAAATATTAAAAGCCCAATGACAACTTCTCTACCAAGCTCCCTGAATCCAAAAGAGACGACACTGTCTCTTGTTCCTACAAGATAATGTCTCTTGCTTCTTCAAGATAGTTCTTGAAATCATGTTCTTTGTGCCCTAGCCCACATTTGCAATCGCCATTGTTGTTGTAGAAGGTTCTGACGACGTGTACGACTGAATGACCAAGAAGGAAGCATTGGGTAAAAACATTGTTTTTTTCTAGTGTGTGACCTCTCCACCATCGTGTTCGACCTTTCTCTTGCGGGGTTGATCTTTGGTGCTACTATGGGTGAAACCACTTCTCAAAGAATTCCAATGCACTGACCGAACTCTTGTTCGCCGTTTAGCTTAACCGTAAGCATACAGGTTGCGAGTAGTATAAAAAGTATAATTTCCTAGAGATTTAGGCCAAACAAGTTAAAAAACCGCAATTATGTTCATGATTAGGTTAAGTGAAATTAATGTAAATGAAGTTGTTTAAAGAAGGTACTTTGAAAATAGAGGTTAAAATTAAAGTTAAAAACTTGACTTTGAAACAGATAAGGATCTAGGATTCTTTCTCACTATTGTACTTCATAAAACTTGATTAGAAACTTCTCATTTAGTGTTTTAATGATAAAATACATTAGTCCAAGGTTCACAACTATTGATTAAGTTTTCTCAGGTCGAAACCAAGTTTCATAATCTTAATAAACCTTCATAATCTCTTGCTTGTATTGGAAAGATTACACTTTGAAAACCAAAATCCTTTTTGGACAATGCTAAGTCAATAGATATATCTTTATTCTATCAACAAATCATTTATTTAATAGATTTACAATGGCTCCAAGATCACATAAAGTTTTCCCTAAGAACTTGTTTCCAATATGATAAGGAATAAAGAAACTCCCAGGACCCTTCAACTTAGGAGGAATTTGGTTGATGACATTAGTGAAACTCTTAGTCACAATTATAGTTTCATACTCAATAAATCTTCTTTGAAAGGATGTCCTTAATGAATTTAGCATACTTTGACATTTGTTCCAGGGCTGCCATCAAAGGTATGTTAATATGTAGCTGCTTGAATATCTCTAGAAAGTTCTTGAATTAGCCATCCTTTTATTGTTTCTTGAGTTTTGAGAGAAAGGCAGTGGTGGCACATATTTGGGAGGAGAGCTATGAGTCTTCCTCTTCTTTTCCTCAGTGATATTAAAAGTTATATGCTTGCCTTTAACCATATCCACTATGTCTTCTTTAGCTTGCTTTCTCTTCCTATTGTCATCCTCAATGATGTGTTCTTCATTTCTTTCTTCACTACTATCAAGATTAATCACCACATCATTCTTAGCTTTTTTGTCAGCTCTATTGGAACTAGGAATATAAGGCAAGATCTTTCTACTTCTCAAAGTCACTTTACAATCTTCTTTACCATCCTTCTTAGGATTAGAAATGGTGTCACTTGGAAGGCTATTTCTAGTAAGAACATTCATCTGTGATGCCAAATGACCCATCCGAACTTCAAGATTCATAATGGTTATTTCATGAAGAGAGAAGGTGGCTTTATTCCCAACCCTTGCAAACTCTTGATTAGCCAATAACTAAGCGAACATTTTCTCAATTTTGGATTCTTCCTTCTGATAATAGTATTGCTTTGTTATTGTTGTTGTTGACCATGAAATCTAGGAGGCACCATTTTCTTAGCACTAGAAAATGATGCTTGTGCTAGATTTAAACCTAGCCCATTTTGCTATGAGAGATTTGGATGATTTTTCAAGTTCGAAGTGTAAGTTTGAGAATACGAGCTTCCTTTTGGCCTTCTCTGCATATTATTCATATAATTGACAGTCTCCAAGGTATAAGGACACTAATCAGAATGATGTTCCTCACTACAATGATCACAAGTGTACACAGCGGCTCAAAGTACATGAACTCCTATTGTATTAACCTTCTTGATTTGCATTTCCAAGTTGTCAAACCTTTTAGATATCACTTTAAGCTGTGATGCGAAACGCATAGCTATGTAGGGACAGGTGCCATAGTGGATTGGCTTATCCACTACGGTGGATTACATAGAGAGGGAGAAGCTCTTTGAAAGGATTAAGTACCATGGCGAATTTAGCTAGGTGCTGTGGCGCCTTGTACAGAATGCCCTTCCCTTCTTTTCTGTTTTAGAGGCATTGGTGGGTTGCATTAGAGGCCATAGCGGATCATGCAATCTTAGCCTTCTTCACTTGGTTCTTTGATCCTTGCTCACGTTGCATCCATGATCTTTCTCTGATCAACCAAAATAGGTTAAATATTTCTCCTTATCGTTCATCTCTTAGCTCTCGCTAATTCTTACACTACGAATTTTAGACGTATTGCACAAATAATCTTCAAATGTTAGCATAACTCAAGCTTCATATTTTCAAATCATATTTTCCAACTTCAAGGGAGTAAGCCTGCACAATTAGCTTTCAAAAACTGCAAAAGAGTGTTAAAACAAGTTAAATTGTAGGAATTTCAAGAGATTATCAACTCCCTCATCTCCAAGAGAGGCTTCAATGTGATTTTCTTTAGCCCTTGTCTCTTTCTTTTCTTCTCCCACTTAATCTGTCTTTTTATTTCTTCCCTTTTCCTTTCAAGAAACACCACGACCTATCCCATGGCTTTAAAAAAGACAACCATCAACATTAATAATCTATTTTACCTACACCTTTTTGACCTTCAAGCTATCACACTCGTCCCTCAAGTCTTGATTGGCTTGAACAATTATACAGTTTAGAGTTGGGCAATATGCATTGCATTAAGGGGAAAGAACAAGGTGTGGTTTATTGATGATATATCTTGTCATGATAAAGAACCTAAGTTTAAAGACTAGTGGGATCAGTGTGATGCAGTAGTTATATCGTGGCTGATCAATTTAGTCGATAAAGGAATACCCAATGGAATTATCTTTTCAAACACTGTGTTTTTAGTCTAGGTGGATTTACAGGAGTGATTCCATAAAGTAGATGGCACTAAGATTTACTCCCACCATAGTATGGCTGAGTACTTTACCAAGCTTAAGTAGTTATTGGATGTGTACTCCCCTATTATGCCTTTGCCTTCACGTAAATGTGCCACTTCCTAGGAATATGTTAAAACTGTTCAACAATAGAAATTATTTTAGTTCCTTATGGGTCTTAATGACTCCTACCAACAAGCACAGTCCTAAATTCTTCTTATGTCACCTCTGCCAAGTGTGAATCATGTCTATTCTATGATTATTCAAGATAAGGATTGTGAACATCCCATTTTGTTTGGGTCCACAAAAAATATTAAATATAAATGAAATTGATAAAAAATAAAAGAATAATTGTAAAGGAAAAAATTCTTCTTGATTCTTTCTGGAAATCAAGTTTGAGAAGTCCACCATGTGGCAAATGAAAAAAGAAAAATTAAATAAGAATATCCTCCCTATAATAAATGCTAATAAAATAAAAGATAAGAACCAAAAGCTAATTGATTGCCAAATTAAGAAATATGGGGTAGACTCTTTAAAAAAGGAAAATAAGAAGATTCAAAAAATCAAAATCAAAATCCCTTATTTAAGATGATTGGCTTATCAGTTTGGAAATATCTTTTGATGTCATTATTATGGAAATTAAAAAATAAAAATAAAAATAAAAACCATAATTTGATGATGATTTGGTGCTTAAATAGGAAGTCATATTATAAGTTATAATTAAGAAAAAAATTTAAAATTTAAAATTTAAAAAATTCAAAAAACCTTTGTTGGAGCCTATAAATAGGAAGTAAGGGTTAGAAGAGGATGCACAAAGATTTTCAGAG